TAGGGAGGACTAAAAGATGGGTATGTGCAGGGACAATGACTTTGCAAAAGTAGTGCCGGGATTTCGATGGTTATGCAGTTAGATACAACCACTGTTAAATGAGTAAGTCTGTAAGGGATGGTTAGTTGTAAATTATGATGATTTTTTAGGTATCTTCCTCTCGAAATCGATTATTATTGTTTCCTTTAATTCCTAGAGGAACATAGGGCTTCAGCCGTGCGTCTCCATTGCGTTCTGTTCTCTGCTAAAGTCTTCACCTGGCTCCAAGTCTGCCCACACGCTTTCATCTCCTCTTCACATGACCTCCTCCAAGTCACCCTCGCACTGACGATCAACTCGCCTCTTCCCTATCAGGTTTCACTCGAGCAATGGCTTGTCTAGTGATGTCACTTGATGGTTTGTTTTCTCAGAGTATGGCCAGCCAATCCGCCTCCATTTCTTCCTGCCTATTTGTTTCACAATCGGTACCTGCTGGGTTGGTTCGCTCCCAAAGATCCCTGTTGCTGATCTTTCCTGGCCGGCCATCTGATCTTGAGTATTGGGCGAAGACAGCTAGCTGTTAATGAAGGTCTGTAGTTTGTTTGAGATGCTGTTTATGACGCACAGTGCAAGTCTCTGATCCGTATAGTAGCACTGACTTCACTTTGGAGTTGAAAATCCGGATCGAAATTGAAACTCTCCCTTATTAATATATGATAAACAGCCACTTGAATGAATTTTTATATCAACACTGGTTTTATATGTCTGTAGACACCGATTTTTACAGCATTTTAGGGATATATACCCTATGTAATTCATTTTTGTTACATGTGTAGTATAAATACATTTTTTGTAGGTTAAATACCAACTTCTCACCTAGAACCTGATTGGTTCGTTCTAGGTCGTCTGAAGATGGTGTCTATTCTTTACTGTTGGCGGATAAGCTGCCATTCATCGAGGATAATGCTCGTTTTGTCTCACACTAAGCAGAAACTTGTTAATAAGCAGTTTGTAAATGTTTCAAATTCCCGCCAGAGTAAACAGTGTTATTTGAAGTCATATTTTACTGGGTTTAAACAAACTGAATGGGAGGAATTATATGCAATATATATATGTATGCATATATTGATAGAGGTTTTCAGCAGTCCAAGTTTTAAGCAGGCTGCCAACTTAATGCTGTAATTGTTCACTGTGATTCTCCATAGAGGTGACAAAAATGTTCAGAGGACTGTGAAATGTGAATAAATAATGTCCTCTTCAAGTTATTAGAAAGAATTTGCGATACATATCAATGCAGATGAATACGTTTCTAAGCTCACGTAACAAAAAATGTGTCAAGATGTGAGTTTCTCTGCTTTCTCCATGGTTTACTGCTTATTAATTCTCAAAACTAAAGTGAACTGTCGCTTGCTGATGGTCTGTAAATTTAAAAATGTACAAATTTATAGTTAGATGGTGAAAGCAGTGGCCTCCACTAACTCGACTGTGGGGACAGAGAGTGATGACAATGTAATACACATTGACAGCAGTTTTATTAATATATATGTAAAACTTGGGCACTGTGGTAGTAAGGAATTCTAAATTAGTTTGCTTATTAGATATATCACACAGTGAGTGAAACAGTATCATTTACTGGATGACGCAGTTTCGAAAACAATTTATCACTGTTCATAATCATTTCATCAATTATAATCACACGACTTCGAAACTTGAGTTTTATAGTTTTCTTTGTCCTCTCCTATTTGTCGTCGTAGGGGTAGTAGAATTTTCCAGATATTCACGTGGACAGGTGTTAAATCATTCCTGTTACACGTGTTTGCAGTTGATTCGATGAGCGAAGCTTCTGTTATCAATCTCTCCCTCCACCCTGTTAGTTACATTAGATTTTAAAACTGTCATCTTATCCCATCCTACTGTATGGATGGTTGTGTGTAATTGCATGTAGTGAGTGCTATAGCTGAACTATTCTCTAGATCTCTTATCTTATTCAGGTCAAATAATCTAGATTTTGCAGCTGGGTCTTTATGTTTGGCTAGTCTGACTGTCTCTGTTCTACTAGTCTGACCTATGTATTTTACCTGACAATCACTCCAACAGGGTATTAGATAAACTAAATCGGTTTGTTTCAAGTGCTCCACTAGCGGGATCCTTTAACCGACACAGCTTGTTTCTAACTGAGTTTGTGTTTGGTCTGAATGCCAGCCACTTTTATTCCTGCATGCATTTTTAAGAATTCTTCGTAGGGTTTCCGAGGTTCCTTCCTTGTATGGAATTACTACTGATGATTTGGATTCCTTATTGTTGATGTTGTCTTGCGCACATTTGACTTGCATGTCGTCATTAATATTATTAGCATCACTATCACTATCATTATTTATTTTATGTAATAGGAATGATTCAAAAACTGTCCCAGATATCTGGAAAATTCTACTACCCCAAAGACAAATAAGAGAGGAGAAAGGAAACCATAAAACTCAAGTTTCGAAGTCGTGTGATTATAATTGATGATATGATTATGAACACTAATAAATTGTGTTCGAAACTGTGTCATCCAGTAAATAATAATGTTTCACTCACTGTGTGATATATCTGATAAACAAACTAATATGGAGTGACAGCAGTTAGAATTTGTCGACTACTTAAGTCCAACTCAGTTTTGTCTCATAATTTGATGTTCTAGTATCTGATCCTTGATAAGATCTTGGATGTGCACCGCTCAGGTATCCTATACTTGGATGAAACAGCAAAATTTTCAATGTCTTTTTCAGTCAAATTGGTTGATGACAGAATTCACTCTGAAATGGATGAATTCTGTACGAAAGCACTCTGTTCTCGTTAAATAACCGAAGAATGCTTCGAATATCTCCAGTTAGCTGCTTATTGGTTTAGTCACGAATATCACTTATGGTTAGATGGTCGGAGGCAATAGGAAAGAAGCTTTGCTTGACCTAGGTGTCGCGCTTGTTGCCACTCGCCAGTAAGCAAGGCGTATCTGCGACCTAGAAGGAACTCATATCCCTTCTGAGATTCGAATCCGCGTCAACCAGTGCTTCATTGAGTCAGAGACGCTAACAATGAGCTATCGGAACTGGCGAATGACCTCCTGTAGGACTATGTTGGATACTTTTATTGGACGCTAGTCCTACAAGAGATTAATCGCAAGCCCGAATACCTCAGTGGTAACGTCTCTGACTCACTGAAGCACTGGGTGACGCGGGTTCAAATCTTAGAAGGAGGGAAATGAGTTCCTTCAAGGCTGCAGATACGCCTTGCTGACAGGTGAGTGGTGACAAACACAAAACCTAGGTCCAAGGCTTCCTGCTAATTACATCCGACCACCTAACATCAAAAATTCAAAGTGCACCGTGATGGCGAGTCACCTAGAATAGTGGGTGGCTACACTGCAACGCTGACTAATAGAACTCAGTCTGCACCAAACAAAGGACTAGACACATCACACTAGTTACTAGTGTCCAATAAAAATATCACTTATTCTCTAACATCACCACGATCACCACATGTTTTATGCTTCAATAAAGTATAATGGAATAACTGTATGGAAAATTCCCATATTCACCATATTTCTACCTAATTGAATGTTTCAACTAACTTTGCAATAATTATCCGTTTTTCTCCTAGACTGCATATCATCCGTCTGACATTTGCATATCCTACATGTTGACTTGATCCTCATTATTTGTCTTCGCTCTCGTTTAATCTATGATTTTAATGCTTCTGTTTGCAGTTGTGTGGTGATGTTGATAATGTGCTGTTTTGCGACGTGACTTTGTTTGAGTCAATGTCATTTTGACCTTGGACTGTTTTTCGGAATTGTTGGTGTGTGATTCCCCTATAGATGCAATTTTGATACAACCTTGTTGGGAAGATTCTATTTGATTCTAAGTATCTGTTTTGTAATTAGACAGTTACCTTATCTTTATAGACGGTTAATGGCAATGCTGAGGTAATTTTGAGCTCTTGATGTTATTATTGCTGAAACCAGAACCTTCAGAGGACCACGCGAGGCTGTTGACCACAGTATTTTGTCTCAGTGCCTAAATGATCTCAGATTTAATCCCTGATGAAGCCACTGGTGCGTAATGATGAGGAGTCCAGAACTAGGATGAAACGGCTACCCAGGCTATCCACAGGTTTTCATTGCTTCTCTAACTGTTGTCAGCTATCATGAATTGTACCGCGCTAGTTCGCTTTTTATGATATTAGAGGGTTGAAGGCAATCGGCAGGAAGCCTTGAAGCTACGTTTCGTACTAGTTGGCACTTCCCAGCAAGACGTACCTGCAACCTTGAAGGAATTCACGCCCCTCCTTCTGAGATTCGAACCCTCGTCACCCAGTGCTGCAGTCAGAGTCCTTACCACTGAAGTCTGCACCAAAGAAAGGACTAGACACATCACACTAGTCACTAGTGTTCAATCAAAGTAGCTAGTTCGCTTTCTCCAGCATCACATGGTATTACAGTGTCAACTTAGGTTACAGAAGTGTTTCTGTAAATAACATCTATTCGTCCTTCGTAAAAGATTAACTTAAAAAATGAATTTCTGTCTATGAATAGAAAATACTTAAGGTTTGAATAATATAAATGAATGTAAGACCCTTTTAGAAGTTAATCTGTGGATGGTGACGAGTAGTGGAATCCAGGATAACGCCCATTTCGTCCTATTTGGGATTCGGCGGGAACATCATCACTCACTATGAAATGCAGGCACATCCTGCTAACGAATCCTAAATGGGACGAAACAAGCATCCTGGATTCCACTGCTAGTCACCATCCACTAATCAACTTCTGGTTACATGCTCAGACATCGTCAATGCATCTGCACAAGAAGCCGACATGTCAACCTGCGACGGAGCACTTCGGTCCAGTCAATAGACGGGAAAATCTAAAAATGATTTAAGTAAGACCCTTTTATTGCATTTTATTTTGCTACTTAAAAATATTAAGTAGTCTAATACTTTAAGTTAAAATATTCTAATCAAAACAACAAATTACTTTATTACAGTTGAACAAAATTATTGGATTGAAACATTGGTATTCGCTGATCATACAGTAATGGATCGTTTTGAGAATAAGAAAATGGCAGAAGACTATGTTAAAACATTGATGAAAATGGTTAGTTTGATTTCATTTGCTAAGAATATGTTGAAAATTTAATCAGTAAGCAACATATAGTCGAACCATTATGATGGATTTTGTGTGTACTGTTGCTTCATTGGAAATATCATTCAGGAAACTTTATTTTATGTGGAAGGAGATTTGGCACTAAAATATGCATTCATAGTTTTTTTTCTTGCCACACAAACCCAAGGAGTAGTTCGTGTGGTTTCGTTCTGTTAAATCCTCTTCAGGTGGGTGAATTTCAGATATTCTATGATTCGGAATGACTTGGTAGGTCACCAAAAGCAGTTCCTACAGTCTGCTGCAGATTTTAATCAACAGCTACCTTTGTTCCACACTGAAGGTTATATAAGTCACCAGAAAGGATTACCAAGCTGTCAGGAATTGGGGTAATGAACCATCTTGGAAACTATCGCCGAACGAATACGGATATGGAACGGATATTTCCCGAGGAAATTATTGATTAATATCACACATCAACCTGGCCCTCAAGTAGAACCCGAGTTGGAGGCCACGATATGGACTTTGCTTCAAGGGTGGAGTGAGGGAGATCGTGTAGGTAGAAACCGCACGGAACAAGATGAAATAGAGTTGTCTTGCTTTATTTCTGTGTTCCATTCGGAACCCTATGGAATAATAATAATAATAATAATAATGAGATCTCGAACATGTACTGACTACTAATCTCAGGTTTGACCATGAATTGATATCAATTAGAGAATCATTGAAAATCAGTGAGGGAGTACTGGACAGCTGTTTCGTCCTAGAAAGGGACTCATCGGCAGTACACACCCACGGCGTTACGAACCCAGTACCAATAGGACCCAATCCTAAGGAATATGAGTCCCAACTTCTGCTAATATGCGACATATATAACGCAACCTCTAGCTATTGTCATCGGCAGTTAACTATCGTCTTACCTCATCTGATGGACATAGCTTTAGTCCTTAGGATTTCTTTAATTTGTTTGAGAATTGTACGTGATAAGATTTCATTCAGTCCAGTATTTTTCTCAACAAAAGCCTGAATAGTGATGTTATATTCAATGGGGCAAGATAGCCAGGCGATGTAGGCATCTTTACACACAAGAAGACCAAATAATGAGACAAAATTGGTAAAATTTCAAATAATGTCTGAAGCGAAGAATGATCAGGTTTGGAACTTGAATATAAACTAGTGTACCTTAAGTTTGAACGCTGATACACCTTTATAGGTTTGGGCAACCATCAGCTTGCATATAACAAGTGTGACTCATCAATAAGTGCTGTTGAGTCTAATTACAGTTGTTTTTAATTGGTATATTGACTCAATTTATTTTTACTTTGACAGACTGTTTTTTTGTCAATGTTTTAGACTGACGAATTATTTCATCATCCATCTTTGGGAGTTAATATGAGCTTAGTTATACAAGATATTATATGGGTCAGTGAAGCTGAGGTTAGTTACATTATTTTTGTGTTATATGTCGATATTTATATACTTATTAATCTTTTCGTTTATCCATGTTAAATTTTACATTGGTTGTGCTCCTAAGTAGTGCATATTAACTGCTCATAGGATATTGCTTAAGGTCAGGTTGTCTAGTGCAATAGTAGTCATGAATTTTTACCGATCAAGATGTATTGAAGTCATAACGCAATTTCACCGTCTTAGCGGTAGGTGTTTCATTCAACTTCTAAAATATCCAGTATCCAGAATCCATATTTCAGTATAGCAGAGATATATGAAACACGAAATAATTGAGCCAGCAAAGAATATCCTTTTCGATAATTTCCTCCTCTTCTGGCTCTACAATTATGTATACATATATGTTTATATACATAGAATGTTCTAGAATAGTCCTGTCAATAACAATATTGGTGTGCTTTTTAAATAATATCGATTTGTTAAGTAAGATCACAATGGAATTACCAAAGTTCATTAAAGATGCTTAAATAATAATAATAACGAAAATATAATAGCAAATAGAATATGAACTAAAATTAAGGAAATTTCTACAAAACAAATTGAGGATCATTCAAACATAGATGGCCAAGGTAAGGATAATGTCTGAACCAACCAACTTCTTCTGGACACATAAATTAGGCTTCTTAATGTGGATCCCAACAGCCAGCCTCAGAAATATTTAGTAATCGAACTGTTAAGGAGAAGTTAAGATTTGTTCGTATGTGGTAAATGACTTTGAAAGCCATCTCGTTAAAATCAATCTTGTGTTCTGTATCCACAAGATGAGATAGAATAGCGCTATGAGAATAGATTTTGTTTGTCCTTTACTTAACCAACCACGCAGGGTGATGTCCTGAAATGTGACGGGAAACATGCCTAATTGTACGGCCTATGCAACTAACTGGCTCCACAAAATGTCAGCGAGATACTAACACAACGCCATCCATTCGTAGAGCTATTCTATCCTATCTTGTGGATACAGAACACAAGATTGATGTCAACGAGGCTGCTTTCAAAGTCATTTACCGCATACCAACAAATCTTAACTTTGTCTTAAGAATTCGTTCACTAATGAAGCCTAATCTATGTGTCCAAAAGAAGTTGGTTGGTTCAGACATTATCCTTACCTTGGCCATCTATGTTTGAATGATCCTCAATTTTTGTGAAAATTTCTCTAATTTTAGTTGATATTCTATTTGCTACTATATCTTTATTATTATGATAATTTATCCATCTTTCATGAACTATAATTCCATTGATCTTAACTTACAAATCCATATTATTTAAAAAGCACTAAAATTGTTATTGACGGGACTGTTCTAGAATATTCTATGTATATAAACATATACGTATATAATTGTAGAGCCAGAAGAGGAGGGATTTATCGAAAAGGATATTCTTTGCTCACATTTATTTTGTGTTGCACAGGGAGATATATGAGTTGATTTGACTAACGAAATATTTCAAATGTTGGCAAAGTTAAACTTTAAGCAACACTAACTACCAATCAGCACATGACCTTGAACGCACCAACCACGTGATGGAGGCGTTTTATGTGTATGGAATACATATATTCATGACAAAAAATGCATAAAAACTGTAAAGAAGTCTTACAGAGGATACCTCCCTCTCACATGTGATAAAAATAGATCTCAGTGTTTTGGTTTGGAATACCAACAGAGTATAATTCCATTCTGGGTAAACTTTATTCTGATAAAGTTTCATAGTGTTATACTGAGTAGTAAATTGTGCTCGAAACGTTATCAGTAAATGGGATTATACCCTACCACCACAGTGCACAAATTCTATTCTTATATCAACAGAGTAATTTAACCACATTCTATGCATGTAATTATTTAGGTCTTCTAACCCTAACAATAACCCTAATCTTTCTTGAACCTAACCCTAACGTAAAAATATTCCTTAACTAACTCTACTCTAACTCGAACCAACCCTAATGTCGCCTTTATTAGGTTAACCTAACCCTAATTTGTCCTTGACTTAAACCGTAACTTGATCTTTCCCAAACCGAAGCTGAAACTTGCCAGATATCTCATTTAATAACCCAACACTTCGATGAGCATATTTTATTGATGATGACAATATCATTTGCCAGGTTTCACCAACTGGCTCATTGAGTGATGCAAGGTCATTGGTGTGGTCGCACTCTATTGGTAGTTAGTGGTGATTAAAGTTTAACTTGGCCCAAATGTTTCTAGTCTACCAACAAAAACTGAATGGAAGTTCTAAGGTGACCCTAGTGATTAGAAAAGTCGCATCCCCAGTTATTTGAGCTATCCCATAAGATCAAAGTCTACCTGAAAATGTCCTTGAATGCATACACTCCATTTTATAGCCATTTGAGAAGTCGAACAATGTTAGATTCGTGTCAGTCGATAGGAGTCGACAAGGCAGTCGTAACTTTTGTCAGCATTCTTAACAGATACGGAGCTTCAGTAATTTTGTTAATAACGACTCTTTTACTCCTTTTTGTCCATAAGAGCAGTCATCAGGCATCATCAGCTTTTTATCTCCTGATTGAGATGACGCAGCAAAATCTGTGAAGTGTAATGAAGCCTGCCACTCGGGTGTGTGCAGTCAGTAATCATAGTTAACTTCTCTACATCTACACCGCAATCTTCAAAAAAGTTAACAGCTGATTTTTACATTGTGTAGTTATCGTTTAGTCCAATGATTACAGAATATTGAATTAATAATCCTCATTGAGACATAAAAACAAAGAACTCAGCGAAGAAAATTCTCCTTCCGATGATTTCATATTCATAGCTGTACAATCGTATGTCTACACATAAATTACAGTAGACAATAACAATCAGTTTTCTGTGTTTGACACGATCATTGTATGCGATGAGAACTACGAATTGAATGAGATCCTGAAAGTATTTAGTGACAGTCGTCCTGCTATCCTGTTCACTTTGGAAAAAGAAACTGAAGGAAAAATATCTTTTCTTGATGTGCTACTCACAAGGAGAGCTGACGGGCATTTGAAAAGATCCGTTTACAGAAAATCGTTGTAGATAGGACAGCTGACTAGTTTTTACAGTTTTCTACCCAAAGATAGAAAAAGAAATCTAATCCGTTCTCTGTCAACACGTATCCGGAGTATTTGTGGTGAAGACAGTGTTGATGATGAACTCAAACAACTGAAAGAAACCTTCATAGAGAACAAGGTATCCACTACGCTTCATAGAGGCCAATAGCAAATAACTTGAAAGAGATACGGAGATTGATAAGGCAGTTAAAAAAGTGTCGCACCTAAACTTAGAATTTAGAGGTGACACTGCTAGTGAAGTACTTAAAAATCGTCTGATGAGATCATTGAGAAAAACATCCATTGCTATCACTTTACGAATAACCTACTCTAGCCGTCTACTGGTGCACCTAAATGTCAAGGAAATGTTACCTCGATTTTCTAATTCCATGTACATTTATTTATGTGTTCACCTGCTCTTGGAGGGCTAGGTACATAGGACTTTCGTTGAGAAGCATATTCCGCCGCATTCGACAGCACTCCCCAGTTTAGCTGAGCAAAGGAAACCGTATAGGTATTAATTCATCGATAATCCAATATATTGTAGATACTGACCACGCAGCATCTGACACATCGTTTAATATAGTCTACAAAGTCCAATAAAGTTTGCTGAAAGGGACACGAGTCCATCTGATTTGTTTGGCAGAGGCTTTGGCAATGCAAAGCACATAAAGCCAGAACTTTGTGGACAAAAACAATTTGTACGATCTCATTCTTTAGTCAATGGTCTTGATTTTACCATGTAATTCACACAAAAACTTTGTTATCCTTCTTTATTCTATATTTCATTTCACTTTATGTTATCATATTCTAACATTTTATCTAGTCTAATATTTTGACAACACTTCACTCATCCTATGTCTCAATCACATTATATTCACATATACACATTTCCTGATGCACTTTGTTTTGGACAAAGCAATAAGAAGATGTAATTTGTCTGCATCGTGTAATATATTTGCGCACACCACATTTAGAACAATCTGATCACACTCCACGGATGTGTTATAGGAATATATGTGAAATTAATAGAGTTAAGAGGTAAAAAAATAGACTTAGGTCAAGTTAACAATTAGGATCACTAAACCAAATAACAGAGGTAACAGTACATCTACCCTGGCTGGTGTCCACACAAAGTTTACCAAGGAAGGTGATTAACTGCGATGACGAATTGTTGCTTTGATCGCATAGACGTGTTTTAAACTTCCGAATTGCCAGCTCGGACTTCCACAAACTTTAGGATATGTCCCAAACACTTTTTACAGATAGGTTTAAAAGATCTGTTAACGTCAATTTTATGTCCTGTCTCTATAATATGTTTCGCAATAGAAGAGCTAGGTCGTCTGTTCTCACCATTAATCGGTTCTGAAGATTCCATTTGTTTCTGGAGCCATTTAGGAATATGCTGTGAAGTCAGACTTTACTTGTAGAGATCTATGAGTACGTACTCCCTATGTATGTGTGTCCACACGTACATTCAAATTTCCGATCATCTATTTCATACATGTCTATTGAACTTCAGGCTGACCTCTATTTATTTAGTTTTTTATTCATATGTCTAATCCAATGTGACTCATGATCCCAAATACCAATATCATTGCACTTTAGTATTTCCACTCACTACCAAATTTCAACACACACACACATAAACACACACACAAGTAAACTGATTGTTATTGTCTATTGTAATTCATATTGCACAGTTATGAAAATGAAATCGTCAAGATGAGAATTTTCTTCTCTGAATTCTTTGATTATACAATAGTTTAATATTTATTTTACGTACACTAAATAGCTTGACAGTGCTTCGTTTTTATCTGAAATTAAGTCTTTTCATCTAAATAGATATAAAAACAATTAGTCCCTTTGATAAATTTGAATAAGTGAGGCATTTAGAAGACAAATTTCTCGAGATTATGTCGTCATTTCGTAGTTTCTA